TCTCACGCCGGTTCCCCCACCCCGGGGAGGTCGATGGCAATGGGCAGGCGAAGGAAGGAAACGAGAGCCAGGCTGGTTGGTCTTAGTTGCAGTTTATTCCATTCCTCTCTTCATCCACTCCTATCTCTGTCCTGTCTCTGTCCTCTGCTTCCCCTCCTGCTTCTTCCTCCCCCATGCTACTTCATTCTCCTTCTTGATCCCCCTTCACCCTCCTTCTCTGGAGTCTCGATTCTGATTTTCATGCTCTTTTTCCTCTTGCTCTGGAGTCTGGATTCTGAACCCCCAGCCCACTCTTACAGTACAGTTAAATCCCAAAGCATGAGGGGTTGGGTAACAATTAAACATAGGTATGGTCACAATCAATAGGGGTAGAATTCTTTCCCTGGAGGAAAGCCGCTTCTAGGACAGATATTCTCTCAGCAGGACGACCCACCCTAGAGTGGAATCCCATGGGTGTGTTTCTTCTCTCCTTGCCCAACAAACATATAAGCATATATAATATAAATCATTTTGTATGGATACAGTAAGAAATACCTTAAACTTATAGAATTGCCCTCGTAGGGCCATCTCAATCTCAGACTACAGTGCTCAGGCTAGATAGTCTTTCCTAACCCTAGCAGGGTCCTACTCTCGTCATTACATTTGGATCATGACAGCATTTGTCTATGATCAAACTCTTAACTTATAGTTAAGAATCGTGGCACTTTGGCCTGGCCAGTTTCGATGCCAGGGTAGATCACCGCTTGCCCTGGGTCCATTCAGTCTCTCATCAGGACCCTGCTTTTGGGGTGTTAGGAACTAAGGGCAACTGAGGCTTAAGTCGAGAAAGCAGATGCCCGGGAGTGAATAATATTCAAAGCCAATCAAATCCTAAGTTACAAAGTATAGGGTTAACGGTCTTCCTGTAGCTATACAAAAAGGGCATTGCTTTAAAATAAAACTGTTCATAAGACATAAGGACAGGAGAAAGGCAATATTTCACTCATACATATAAAATCATAGATTTCTGAGGAATCTAACCTTACAAGTTAACAGAGTTTGATTAGGGCAAAAGCTGATTAACGGTAGGGGAGGAGAGCATAGGGAAGAATTTACAGATAAACACAATGGAATGGAAGTGCCTTAGGAGCACTGTAATAAACCTGAGTTTCTCACGGCAAGGAGGAAAGGACAAATCAATGTTAAGCCTAAAATATTTGGAGCTATATTTCAACATCATATATCTTAACACTCCACTCAGTAAAGTATGAATCCCTCAACAACAAAAGTTTCTAACTTGGTACAATTGCACTGTTGTATCTATGTCTGCCTCTACTAGACTTTTCCGTAAAAACAAAACATTTAAAGGTAGAAGTTCAAGGGGGTATGGTGCCGCCAGCAGGTCAATCTGTATCTGTGAGGCGAGTGCATCAGCAGCCTGATGGTGCCGTCAGACTTCTAGATACCCCAAAATTGCTGCTATGCCTTTGGCCAGACCCCCAAAACTTGGGGCAAAGTTTACCAAGAAAATAAATGGCCAAAAGTTAGGTATGTGGGAAACACACCCACAAACCACCTCCAGCTCAGCTATATAATTGGAGGTATGGGCTCTCTGGTTAATGGCCATGATCCCAGAGACTCAGAAACAAACCTCGAAACCCAGCAGCTTTTGGGAAAAATGCGCCAGCCCTCTGCAATAGGTTACCAGTGCTGGGCCAACCCAGGTGGGAATAGGTTTTGTGCCTTGGCCTGTTCCTCCTGGCGGCCCAGTGGCCGCCATTCTCTAGAGTCCACTGGACAGTCAGGTTTGGGCACCCAATGACGAGACACGCAGGGCCTCACGGGATGGGGGTGGAGCCGGTCCTGTCCTCCCCACCCCAAGGAGACCCCAAGTCATTGCCCACAAACGGCCTCTTTGGCTCCTGATCAAGCTGCTTAACATCCATGATCCTAGAGACTCAGAAACAAATCTCGAAACCCAGCGGCTTTTGGCAGAAGTGCATCCGGACCCCGCAGGAGGTTACTTTCTCCAGGCCACCCCAAGGGGAATGGGTGTTGTTCCTCCGACTGCTCCCCCTTTACAGCTCGGTGGGCCGTCATCCTCCAGAGGCCATTGGACAGTTAGGTCTGGGCCTGCAGTGACAAAACTTGTTGGGCCTCACAGGATGGGGGTGGAGACGGTCCTGGTCTCCCCATCCCAAAGAGACCCCGAGTCATTGCCCATGAACGGCCTCTCTGGCTCCTCATCAAGCTGCTCAACGGCCATGATCCCAGAGACTCAGAAGCAAATCTCGAAACCCAGTGGCTTTTGGCAGAAATCCCTCCAGATTTAAGTGTTAAAATCTCGGAATTTCAAAACCACATGGACCTACTGCAGCCACGCGACATCATATGTTATTCATAACCAGCAATAGAACACAAATTGTCTATTGTTGCCTTTTCAGCAGATCTGAGTGTTGGGGTAAAATCTCAAATAATGGTGGGTCTGGTGTCGAAATATTGAATGTGATCAAAGTAGAGAGAGAGTAATGTGGAAATCATCTGTCCCACAGGCAGGGGGAGGGTGTGGGATGGCGGTATACTGGGGATTTTGGTGGTGGAGAATGGGCACTGGTGAAGGTACGGGTGTTTCATTGTATGACCGAGACTCAGACCCAAAAGCTTTGTAACTGCTCTCATGGTGATTCAATAAATAAAATTATAAAAAATGAAAAAAAAGTAAGGTGGAGTTCATGCACAATTCAATCAGCTAATCAGTGGCTGAATAAATAGCAGTACTCCTACATAAAAAAAAAAGGTAGAAGTTCACTTTCATTTATCCAGTTCATTGATCTAGATTTAAAACAAAGGAACTGAGGTTCAACTATATAGGGCACTCCTTTGTGAATCCAATTCAGTATCTGCCCTTTATCTGTGGCAATTCTCAAAGCATTTTGAAGTCATCACAGCGTATTACTCTCTGGTGCAGGGTGGCATCAGAAACAAAGCTGATGGTCACTCATTTGATGCAAACCATCTTAGCCTCTCTTGGAAGGACAGCAAGGACCTTGTGATAGGCTGACTGATCGCCCCTGCTCCCGCTGGCTCCCACAGTGAGTCCCCGGGGGAACCCCAATCCTCTGTGCCCGCCTTGCTCTTCCTCCCTAGAATGTTTGCTCTTTGGCCCCCACCTCTTCCCAAGCTCGTTCTGGAGAGACAATCTCCTCCTCTCTGCTGGTCTTCAGGTCTCTGCCCTCGGTGACCTTGGGGATACTGAACTCCATGGTGCAACAGTGGACATACCTATCTTCCTGCTCCTGCCGTCCTGTGTGGACCCTGGCATCCTGCACACACTGGGTATTCTGCATGCACCGTACTGTCCTGTATGTACTGTGGCATCCTGTGAGCACTGTGTTAGTTTGTGTGTACCAAATTATCCCATTTTGCCATGTTACCCTGTGTGCACCATGTTGTCATATGTGTATCAGATTATCCTGTGTGCAACATGTTGTCCTGTGTGCAGCATGTGTCCTATGTGTAGCCTGGTCCTGTGTATAGCATGTTGTTCTGTGTGTAGCATGTTTTTCTGTTTGTAGCATGTTGTCCTATATGCACCAGGTTACCCTTGTGCACTGTGTTGACACACATGCTCGTGTTTTCTGTGTGTACACAGGACAACACAGTTTTAATTCTGAGATGAAAAAATTATTAACTATATGGAATGGAGATCCTGAGGAGCAATTCTCTACAGTAACATGTTAAATGAAAAAGTATTTTGATAGGAGTGCTTGAGTAGGAAAGTGTATGGAAAAAATAAGAAGAAAAATCCACTGGGAAGAAAATTTCCCAAGGGCCAGAGAGGGTGCTGTAAGAGCTGGAACAAATTCCTGGCCTGTGCAGAGCTTTGGGTCCAATTCCTGGCAACACCTGGTACTGGCAGGCATTGCACTGGTATCTCCTGGAACTGCCTAAAGGTGCACCCCAATTAAAAGGAAGAAACGAAAACTCTTGGGGGCAAGAGAGCACAGCAGGAAGGGTGCTTGCCTTATATGCAGCCAACCCAGTTCAACCCCCAGCATCTCATATGGACCCCCAAGAACCATCAGGAGGAATTCCTGAGTGCAGAGCCAAGAGTAACTCCTGAGAATCACTGGGTGTGGCCCCCACCCCTCACTCTCCAAAATGAAAACTTTCTAAGGAAAGAAACCTGTTCAGTAAGGAGTCTGGTGAGGAAAAATTGTCTGAGAATGATTATTTTAGGAGAAATGTCTTAGTGAAAAGTCTGAGGGGTATAAAATCTATGAAAGTTTAAAAGCAGAAAATCTGAGGCATGAATTATATTGGGAAAGGGGCTCCTGAGGTAAAAAGGTACTGAACAGAAAAACAGAAATGTCCATTGTGAGAGGAGTTCTGAGAAGAAAAAAGTATATACATGAAAAGTCTCACAGGACAAATTCCATTTGGAACAGAGCTCCTGACAAAGTCCCTGATGAGAAACATTTGAGTTGGAAGGTTTATTGGGGGTGGTGTTCTGAGGACTTGAGCAAAGCAACTTTTGAGGTTAAAGAAAAAAATTTTTTGAGAATATATCTTTAAGGAAACAAAAATCTGAGAATAGTGGATAAAAGGCTTGTGAGGAGAAAAATTTGAAAAGAAACCTCCAATGTTAGAAGAGATATGATTAGAAAAGTCTGTGAGAATATTCTAAGCAAGAAAAAAATCTATCTGGGAAGTGATACTTTCATAGTCTTCAGGAGAAGTATCTAAAGAAAATTTATTGGAAAAGTAAGAAATCATGAAACACAGCACCCAGAAATATTTACATTTCCAACCTAATGAAATTAAAAATGTTATTTGAAACTGGCATATTTCAAAGGAAGTCAAAGTTTGAAAACATATTCAAAGTCATTTTATTTTTATTTGGTCTATGAATAAGCTGATGAGTGTTGCTTTAAGATCCCAGATCACGTGTGTGGAGTTGGGTGTTACTCAAGCATATAAAATCCCTGTGCAATAAATCTAATCTATAGACTCCAGCAGAAACGTGGCAAGACGTGACAAGAATTCACCAGCAAAGAACCAAAAACATGAGCACAGCAGGAAAAGTAAGCACAAATCTTTATTTGGGGAAATGTATTTTTATTAGTATAATATAAAAAAAGATATCATTTTAATGTCTCACTTAAATCTCATATCTAACATACAAACAATAATAATGGAAATATGACATAAACCATATGCTATGACAGAAAGTATATATTTAATTGCAACTGAAATTACTTTCACAAAAAATATATATCTATAATATATATTAAAAGCATTGTGATGCTTAAAGTCTGTCAAAGGTAACTTGTAAATATAAAGTTACAAACATTTCTAATAAAGTTGAGAATTATAATTTAAATGTGTTACTCATTGTATTCATTATTACTATTAGTACCAAAAACTTAAGTCTGATGAAAACTCCATGAGAAAAATTTGATTCAGTGGACCCTGAAAGGTCTTTTGAACTTGAATGTGAAATGTCTTACAAAAGGCAAACGCATCTGAAATAATTGGAATCCAGGTTAAGCAAACCAATGTCAATATGTGATTGTGACACAATCCAGAAGATTTTAGTAGAAACCCTCTAAAATAATTTCTTCTCCGTACAACAGCAAATATATTAAAAAGTTGATAATGACTAGCTTTAGTAGATAAGGACAGATTTACTCGGTTCAAACTATTCTGTGGATTTACGTTTATTTGTACCATGTGTGCAAACTGGTATATGCAGTCACAAAAGTTACTAGAATTGTTTCCAGTGGGTTGATTGTATTGTCACACAATGCAATACCTTCCATAACTCAATTTCAAGAATCTGAGATTTCCGTACACTCTGTAGTACAGCATACCTTATAGGAGTTTTAGCAATAAGATTCTTGGAAATCATATGGTTAGCCAATTATGAATTTCATTTTCCAATTTGTTTTATTCGTTACAGGTTGACATTACAATGGCATACTACATTTTAATTGAATTAATAACAAAGATAAGCATCAAAGTTAGGAAAGAGATAAATCCACTAAAACTCAGTTTGGTCTCCAAAATCCTTTCTTTCAAAGAGTACATCAAAAGTCTTGGTGAGAATAATAAATCATTGGCAACCAATTCTCACACCTCAGGTAAAACATCAATAATGAAACACACCATTTATATTCACCCTTCCTAGATTCTATTTTCTGCAAATGCTAGAAGTTGTAAGACTACTAGAACATATTTGAGAATTTGGTAAACTGATAAAAGCACTTAGGAAAGTGCTTGGTGCATGGAAACTATTCAATGATGTTACTCAGTGTTGTCATCATTTCTATTATTATTCACTTTTTTTTGGTTCGTCTCTCACTACAGTGAAAGGCAGGCTCTGTGGACACATTGCCCGATCAGATTCGGGCAGATGGGTTGGAGTGACATCAGAGCGAGTAGGGTGCTACCTTTCATAGAGCTGACCCAGGTTTGATCCCTGGTACCCAACATGGTCCCCAGAGCCAACCAGGAGTTGATTCCTGAACAGAGAGCCAGGAATAAACTCGGAGCTCTGCTGGATGTAACCTCAAAATAAATAAAAACAAAACAAAACAAAAAGATTGCTTGGCAGAAGCTCAGAACAGAGCAAAAGAGTGGACAGTCACAGAATCTAAGCAAAATAATGGTGATTGGAGCTTCATGTGCAAGTCTATAGCTATGGATAAATGACATATCCTACTTTCCATGTTTTTCTTCCAAAGTGGTTTGTGTCTATGGACTTGCTCAGTAACTGGCTTGTAATAAATGTTCCACATAAGATGATCCTAAAAACACAGTCCCTAGATTAGAAGTGGGGAAGACTGGGATCGTCCACTGTTTAATTGCAGGTCATCAAGTGCAAGGCCGCTGTGCTCTGGGAGCTGAAGAAGCCGTTTGCCATCGAGGAGGTGGAGGTCGCACCCCCTAAGGCTCATGAAGTTCGTATTAAGGTAAAACGTTTCACCGTTTCTGATTAATTTTAGTTTAAAAAAGCATTTCTGAGGATGAGGAATGAGACTCTGTGGTGATGTGCCCTGACCCTGTGCGGGCCTGGATTTGACCCCTAGATCCATGTAACTCCTGAGCATCACCCCCAAGCACTACAACAGAAACAATTTTTATAAAATAATAAAACTGGAAATAACCAAAATTCCATAAGAGATGCTTTTGTGGTGGGGCCTTCCAAGCCGTGCTCAGGTGGCTGGAGGTGCCACAGTGAGTCTCAGCAACCGAGTTTCAGTTGCATGCAAGGCTTGAGGACCCAGTGGGGCTGGGACCCAACAGTGCCAGGGATTATCTGAGTCATTTGCCATGCTGATTACCTTGATCTCAGGGACCCTGGGGCCCTGGGATTGAAGCACCAGCCAGGTCCCTGCCAAGCCTGCAGCCTGACCGCTGTAGTAGCTCCTAGTACTATTCAGTTCCAGAAAGGAAAGTTTTAGGTTAAATAATCTTGGCACAACATGGACCTTTTTGTCTTTTGGGAGGAGAGGTGATGGTTAAGGTAATAATAATCAATCACTCCCGTCAAAAAAAAAAAAAAAAAAGAAAAAGCTTCGTAAGGCACCTGATGTTAGGAAACTGGGTCTGTTCCACCTGTCCAAGGGCTATCACCTGCCCTCACTGCAAGTCCAGTCCCCCTCCTCCCCTGCAGATGGTGGCCACGGGGATCTGTCGTTCAGATGACCATGCCAAGACCGGCTCCCTTTACACACCACTTCCTGCGATCCTGGGCCACGAGGGTGCCGGCATTGTGGAGAGCGTCGGAGAAGGCGTGACGAGTGTCAAACCAGGTACAGAAACTCCACTGTCCCCGTCTTCCAGCGCCCACCAGCCCACATGAGACGGCTGGACACAGAGGCCTCACTTCGGAGTCACGCCCCAGGGCACCAAGCGAAGCAGGAGGGCTGTAGCAAGGCCTCAGGGCTAGAGGGCTGGGGACAAAGTTGTCTATCTCTGATTGTGTGCTACTCTCAGTCGCTTTATACAGACACAGATACAGATGCTGAAAGCTCGTTCCATTTCAGCGCCGTGGTTGAGGATACTGTGGAGCAAAGTCCAGCACCTGCCCCTCCCCAGGGTTACTTCCCCCACCCCGCCCTGTCCTGTCCCCAGCCCCTCTTTTGCCCCTCCCCAAAGTCACTCCCCCTCATCCTGTCCTCGCCTCCATCACCGCCACCCCCCCCCCCCCCCCCCCCGCCCCTCCACCACGGGAAACTTGTTTCTCTCAACCAGTTCTGAAATTCTGTCCCTTCGGGCACTTGTCACTCCCTCACTACATTTTTTTGTGTCCTACTATGAGGGAGATAGGTCTGTTCCTCTTCCAACTCACTTCACTTGGCATGCTAATATAAGATGAATATTTTCAGAGGGAAAGGATGAATAGACAGAAAATGCCTTGTACCATCATCATCTCCATAGAAAGTTTGTGTATTAAATGCTATGCCAAATTCTCCCTCTGACTTGTGGATATAGAAAAGATTATGTTTAGATCTAAAAAATTAGAATGAATTTAGGGAGTCTGAACTATTTCTTGGGCTGGAGCAATAGCAGAGTGGGTGGGGCATTTGCCTTACAAGCAGCCAACATGACCAACCCGTGTTCGATTCCTCCACCCCTCTCAGAGAGCCCGGCATGCTACCGAGAGTATCTCCCCCACATGGTAAACCCTGGCAAGCTCCCCGTGGTGTATTCGATATGCCAAACACAGTAACAATTGTCACAATGGAGACGTTACTGGGCCCACTCTAGCAAATCGATGAACAACGGGAGGACAGTGACAGTGACAGAACTACTTCTTATCGCTGATTTGTGTACAGTCTAGGCTATAACTGTAGGTCTAGATGTGTAGTTTTGTATACCCATGTTTATTGCGGACAAGGTTCATTGATTACTTTGCAACATCTAAGCTTTTAGATGTCCTGAGGTGACAGTGAATGATAAAAAGTAGAACTTAGTGAATTAACCCAATTTGTATGTATCCATTGTAACTGATAGGGAGCTTCTTGGACATAACCTTGTTGAACCATCTCTGAGTAATAAAACAGAAAACTCGTTTCTGCGGTTGGCAGCACAGGCGAGAATGACATGCAGGTGAAGGGACTGTTCTGGTCACGATGGATGTCACTGGTTGGCTTGATGGGTGCGTGCAGGAACACAGTGTGGGTACTTCATTAGCACAAGGCTTCCTTACTAACATTTTACTAGAATGATTGGATAATTGTCTTAGAAGTTTATACTTTGTAACTGGGTTGCTTTATCTCACTTTCACTTGAACATTACAGGGAATGAAGTATTTGAATTGGAACTATGCCAATAATCTTTTTGCCTTTTAAGAAATTTTCATTGCCAAGAAAGGCTCGATTAAATTTTTTCCTTCCAAAAAAAAAAAAAAAAATCGATGAACAACGGGAGGACAGTGACAGTGACAGAACTACTTCTTATCGCTGATTTGTGTACAGACATAACAAAATTAATGAGATGGTTTGAGTTCCTTAGTATTGCCTTAATTACCACTATACTATCAGAGACACCCTTACTTTCCATCATAGTGAGAAAAATAGATTACTCACAAATTATCAGCTATATTTGAAAATCAATAATAGTTTTGTTTAAATGTTTTATTCCTTCAACTATTCTATTTTCTTGGTTAGTCTAGAAAAAGTTTGTCAATGTTGTTTATTTTTTCAAAATTGACTTAATTTTGCTATTTTCAAATGTTCAAATCTCTGTACCATTGATTTCTGATCAAATCATTTAATTTCTTTTTTTAACTTTGGACATAATTTATTTTGCTTCTTTCTTGGGATTTTGCAAGCTTAAATAGTCCATTTGAATTCTTTGTCTAATAAATTTAGACCTTTATCACATAAAAAAAAATCTCTTAAGTGTGGGGGTATGGTGCCGCCAGCAGCTCAATCTGTACCTGTGAGGCGAGTGCATCAGCAGCCTGATGGCACCTTCAGACTTCCAAATACCCCAAAATTGTTGCTGTGCCTTTGGCCAGACCCCAAAAACTCGGGGCAAAGTTTACCAAGAAAGTAAACTGCCAAAAGTTAGGTATGTGGGAGACACACCCACAAACCACCTTTGGCTCAGCTATATAATTGGAGGCATGGGCTCTCTGGTTCCTGATAGAACTGCTTAATGGCCATGATCCCAGAGACTCAGAAACAAATCTTGAAACGCGGTGGCTTTTGGCAGAAATGTGTCCAATCCCTGCAGTAGGTTACAGGCATTGGGCCAAGCCAGGTGGGAATAGGTTTCATGCCTTGACCTGTTCCCCCTGGCGGCCCAGAGGCTGCCATTCTCTAGAGGCCACTGGACAGTCAGGTTTGGGCCCACAGTGATAAGACACATGGGGCCTCATGGGATGAGGGCGAAGCCGGACCTTTATTCTCAGTCCCAATGCGACCCCAAGTCGCTGACCACAAACGGCCTCTCTGGCTCCTGATCAAACTGCTTAACGGCCATGATCCCTGAGACTCAGAAACAAATCTTGAAACCCAGCAGCTTTTGGCAGAAATGCGTCTGGACCTTGCAGTAGGTTACTGTCGCCGGGCCATCCCAGGGGGGAAAGAGTGCTGTCCCTCCACCTGCTCCCCCTTGGCGGCTCAGTGGCCGCCATCCTCCAGAGGCTATTGGACAGTCAGGTTTGAGCCCGCAGTGACGAGACACGTGGGGCCTCACAGTATGGGGTTGGAGCCAGCCCTTTCCTCCCCACCCCAATAAGACTCCGAGTCGCTGACCACGAACGGCCTCTCCGACTCCTGATCAAACTGCTTAATGGCCATGATCCCAGAGACTCAGAAACAAATCTCAGAACCCAGTGTCTTTTGGCAGAAATCCATCCGGACCCCTCAGTAGGTTACTGTCGCTGGGCCATTCCATGGGGGAGAGGGTGCTGTCCCTCTGCCTTCTCCCCCTAGGCAGCTCAGTGGCCGCCATCCTCCAGAGGCCATTGGAAAGTCAGGTTTGGGCCCTCAGTGACAAGACACGCTGGGCCTCATGGAATGGGGGTGGAGCTGGCCCTTTCCTCCCCATCACAATAAGACCCCAAGTTGCCGCCCACTTATGGCCTTTTTGGCTCCTGATCAAGCTGCTTAATGGCCGTGATCCAAGAAACTCAGGAACAAATCTCGAAACCAGGCAGGTGTTGGCAGAAATCCCTCCAGATTTAATTGTTTAAATTTCAGAATTTCAAAATCGCTCAGCCACTGCTGCAGCCACACAACATCATATGTTATTCTTAACCACCAATAGAAAACAAATTGTCTATGTTGTCTTTTTAGCAGATCTGAGTGTTGGGGTAAAATCCCAAATAATGTGTGTTCGGTGTCAAAATATTGAATGTAATCAAAGTAGAAAGAGAGTAATGTGGAAATCATCTGTCCCACAGGTAGGAGGAGGGTATTCTGGGGTTTTAGGGGATGGAGAATGGGCACTGTTGAAGGAACTGGTGTTTCATTTTATGACCGAGACTTAAACCCGAAAGCTTTGTAACTGCTCTCACGGGGATACAATAAATAAAATTATTTTAAAAATGAAAAAAAGAAAGTACAAGAGTAATTTTGAACTAAGATAGAAATGCATCAGTTGATTACATTAGACTATTTACATTGTGTTCTCAGGCCCAGAAAATAATCGTCTTTCAGAAAATAATTTCTCTATATTTAATTGTGAAGATTTAATTCCAGAATTAAATAATTCTTGAAAAGTCAAAAAAAAAGCTCTTAAGTGATGCTCTTAAGTGATTATTTTGTAATGAAGACAAGCACAGTTAATATGCAAAACTAAGAAATAGATGTCAACTTCCCCATTTCTCTACATTCCAAATTGTTACAAAATGCAATACCTGACGGTATGAAGGTGACTATTTACAACCCAGATTCATGCCAGCATCAACTGAGGATAGTCCTCGCTATCACTGTGTTAAATGGGAAGCTTTGTGTAACACCATGGGAACAAGCGCACAAAAAAAAGATTACTCAGTGGAACTCTTAAAAATTCACAGCTGTTGCCTGAGCAGGAGCACAGCAGATACAGCATTGCCTTGCATACTGTGACATGCATATTGCCTTCAATCTCTGGCATCCCATATAGTCCCCTAAGTGCCGCCAGGAGTAATTTCTGAGAACAGAACCAGGAATGGAAATCCTGAGCATCGCTGGGTGTGACCAAAGAAAAAAATAATAAATTCATGCCATTTTCCCCCGCCCCTTGGGAGTTTTCAAGGGCATGGCAAGCCCTCCAAGGAACAGTGGCGGAGCAAGGATCAGTAACATGTGGCCACATCCTCTCTCTACAGACTTTGCACAACGACAGGCCCCGAGAAACTCTGAGCACACCCTTAGTCCTTGCTGGGTAAACATTGAACAAAGGTCTCATTTCTCCTTCTCCAGGTGATAAAGTCATCCCGGTGTTCCTTCCCCAGTGTGGAAAGTGCCAGGTCTGCAAGCACCCAGAAGCCAACGTTTGCTTGAAATTGGAGTAGGTTTCCAATATTCACCCCCCTAGAAAAAGTGAGTTTGCTTTTGGGGAATGCTCCTGTCTCACAGCCTGTGTGTATTCCTAGCATTTCCAAGCCGAGTGGGACCATGCAGGATGGGACCACCAGGTTGACCTGCAGAGGGAAGCCCATCAACCACTTCATAGGCACCAGCACCTTCTCCCAGTACACGGTGGTGCAAGAATGCGCAGTGGCCAAAATCAATGCTGCCTCCCCGCTGGACAAAGTCTGTCTCATTGGCTGTGGGTTTTCTACCGGATACGGGTCTGCCACCAAAGTTGCCAAGGTAGGAATGACATGGGTAATAATCCAGTTACATTTGAATTATCAGGAAACAGAAGAAAAGCAATTACTCACAGGATCATCAGAGCATAGCCACCTCAATTTCCAGGGGCTCTCCCTGGCTCCCGTAACAGCATGGGTGTACTCACAGATTCGGGAAACAAGTGATCTCTGGGAGAATGATGTTGGTGGCAGATTAGCATTAAGAAAGTCTCAAGAGGTGATGACCCACAATATTATTCTAAACTTGCTCTCTATGGGATCACTAAGCATTAGCGTCACTTCATGGTCCCACAGGCCTGGAAGGGGATGCTGGTTTCTGAGGCAGCAAAACTGCAGGAACGGAATGTGCCAATTCAGAGGAGTTTCTATTCCACAATACCGGAAGAACTAAAATCAGTAGTGGACTACAAAGCCTCCCCAGAACACATCCAGGCCCAACAGCACCAACACACCCCCTCCCGCTCGGCCCTATGAGGAAGGTCAGATCAGTAACCCAGCTCACGTTTATTTCATTAATTAGGGAGGTTCACCGTTCCCTTTTCTCCCTGCCACACTCACATGCACACGTACGCACATATACAGTCACACTCACAAATACACACTCCAGAAGCAATATATTACAAGGACAAAACTTAAAGTCTTCTCTTCTCTTATTTCTTCACTTTGTGGAACTGAGGAACAGACAGTCATTTGCTCCAAAGCTCACAGTTGGTTAGCATAGGAACCCATCTGTCAAAGCTCCTGTGCACACTAACCCTAACCCCTATTTACCTGCACCTATACGCATCATTCACAAGCTTTTTCAAAGAGGTTAACAGTAAGTAGAACTCCAGAGGATGATGACGTGAGATGAAAAGAATATTTATCCACACCAATGACTAACAAATTAAAGACAAGGTTTACTAAGACCACCCCTCGTCCCTTGGCAGTTTAATGGAGGTAAACTTAACCACTGGAATCCCCAAGTGTTTGTGGACAGGAAAAAGTCCTTATGTGGCTGTCACATTTGTTTCAACAGGTGACAAGAGCCTCACACAGACCCAAAGCCAAGGGTACTTGTAATTAAAATCAGGACCACTCCCCACTACATTCCTCTTCAACATGCACTTTGGCAAGGAGAAATGAAGACCCCTCAGGTCGTATTGCTCTCAGACTGCCTCTTAGATCATCACAGAGACCTCCTCTCTTCCAGTGACATGGCAGGCTTGCTCCAGGCTGAGAGTAACTCTACCTCCCCTAACTTCTGCTCTGTGTGTGGCCACAGATACTGGTCTTTCCAAAGCCTTTGCGGAAGACTGAGCGAATCTGTCTCCAGCACAAAGGTCCCCAACACATCCCAAATGATGTTGGTGTGTGTTTGCCATAAAAGCTAGCTCCTAATGTCACTGAAGTTTCATGGGGCAGAGGTGGGGGGAATCCCTCACATTTAGAGCTCAAATACAGTTCAGTTTGGGCGTCCATAAGAGTTCCCTAGGGCCTCACCTGTAGAGGTTCTGGTTGAATTGCGGATGGGCTAACACCTGAGCATTGATGTTTTAAAGTTCCATAGAGGAGTCTAATGTCCAACAAAGCCCTAGAACCAACTATATAGTTCAAGCCACTTAAAGAAAGGAACAGAAGTCTACAAAGGTTGTGACAGCAGGCTGCAGAACCTAAATCTTAGGTGCTCCTGATGGCTGGTGAGGTAATGGCATTTAATTCAACTTGGGAACTTTCAATCAATCATTTCTTAGCTCATCTTTGTTTCCTGTAAATCAGGTCACTCCAGGCTCTACCTGCGCCGTGTTTGGTCTTGGAGGAGTCGGTCTGTCAGTTGTGATGGGCTGTAAAGCAGCGGGGGCAGCCAGGATCATCGGAATAGATATCAACAAAGACAAATTTGCAAAGGCCCAAGAGGTGGGTGCCACCGAGTGCATCAGCCCAAGGGACTTCCAGAAACCCATCGAGGAGGTGCTGAAGGAGATGAGTGGAGGAGGTGTAGACTTTTCATTTGAAGTCATTGGTCGGCACGACACCATGGTAAGAACCAGGAAATGCCATGCAGCTCCTAAACGTTGCCTGTCCAGGCAACTAACCCTCAACCAAACCATACCAGGATGGACCACTGAGCATCGCTAGGGTGTGTCCTAAAAAAACAGTGGACATGAGGGGGGAATGATGATAGAACTGCTGTTAGATAGTACAATACCTGATTCAAAGTACTGAGTTCACAATATTCTTTAATGAAAAATTTAAAAAAAGACTGAACTCACTGATTAACTGAGAGACATGTGATGAAAAGCACTACCTTTAATTGTAGAAACAGAATATGTGGATATTTTTATGTTTGTGATGATAGTTGTAAATAAGAATTAAGTTCACCAAAATTTGTTCATCCATTGTCTCACTTATAAAATATTTTCTGGGTAGGTGGATCACCTGTTGAGTGATCCTGCATGTGTGAGCACTAAGTTGAGATCCCAGCATCATCGAAACAAAAGCCAGACAGTATCTCCCAGACATTTCCTATTGTCGGAGCTACTGGCTTTAGAGACCCAAAAATGCTCTCCTCTCTCCACATACCCAAAGTCTTTCCCCGTCAGTGTGACATGTTCGTTTTACCCCAGATGGCTGCCCTGATGTGCTGTCAGGACTCATATGGAGTAAGCGTCATTGTTGGAGTGGCTCCTAAGTCAGAGATGCTTTCTCTGAACCCCATGCTGTTGCTGACGGGACGCACGTGGAAAGGAGCTCTCTTTGGTGGTATGTGGTTAAGCATGAGGGGCGAACTTTATAGTAAAACCTCAGGACTTCTTTCCCTTAATAAGTGACAAGACCAGGGGCTGGAGCTATTGCTATTGCACAGCAGGTAGCGTGTTTGCCTTGCATACACCCAACCCAGTTTCGATTCCCAGCTCCCCATATGGTGCCCCAGGCATCTCCAGGAGTGATTCCTGAGTGCAGAACCAGGAGTAACCCTTGGGCCTAACCAGGTGTGATCTGAAAAGCCAAAAAAATAAAATAAAGTGACAATACCAGGTTTTTAAAGGAAACATGGTTTAAAAACTAAAATTTAAATAAATAGATAGACAGATAAATTCTACCTTAAATCAACTAGTTGAGTAATTAGCACAAAAGATCATGAGACAGACTAGCCTGGCACCCCCATAAGCTAACAAGGCTAATGTCACTGACAGTGAGCTCTCGCACCAGAAACATCAGGAACAAGCAAGCCCAGGAAACACATCATTCTAACCCATGTCCACACTCATTGACCAGATCTGTCTGAATTTGCTCCTTGACTCTGGGAATAACCATGTCTGCTATAATTTCTCTGTAAAAAGGACAAATACTTGAGGATCTAGGTTGAGGTTATGTAGGGCGAATAAGAACCATGTCAAAGCACCAGAAAAGGGTATTTGAGCAGGTTATTTATCAGCTTCAACAAATAGGTACATGTGGCTTGTAGCACCTTTTATAAACTTCATGTCAATACTGCTAGAAATCTCCCTTAGAAATTCTACACTCATCCCCCTCTCAGAATCTAACAATGGTATCATTTCACCCAAACAGGCTTTAAGAGTAGAGATTCTGTCCCAAAACTTGTTGAAGATTTTATGGCTAAGAAGTTTTCGATGGATTCGTTAATAACCCATGTTTTACCTTTTGAAAAAATAAATGAAGGATTTGAGCTGCTTCATTCTGGAAAGAGGTAAACTATTCAGGACACTCAGTCTTGGTCCTCCCATTGTTCATCGATTTGTTCAAGCGGGCCCAGTAACGTCTCCATCATGAGACCTGTTGTTACTGTGCTTGGCATATCGAATACGTCACAGGTAGCTTGCCAGGCTCGTCGAGCGGGCGAGATACTCTCGGTAGCTTACCAGGCTCTCCGAGAGGGGCGGAGGAACTGAACACTATCCATCAGGAAGGAATTTAGAAAAAAGGAGGTATTCTAGCCTTTTAAATATGCAGGTTACATCATTCTTACAAGGCACTTTTGTTATTTACATCAGAAATTGAACCAGAAACCTATATCCTTTGTTACATAAATTATATGCCTGAAATCTAGTCTGCAAGGATTAAAGAAATGTGAGTGAACAAATGTTCTCTCAGATATTAGTTATTATAACATAAAAATATAGAAACCAGAAAATTCATCATTAAGGGACGGTTAAGTAAATTCAAGAAAAATCAATGATGCCATTTTTAAAAAGTTATCCTGTGTTCTAGAATTGAAACACAAACTCCTCTCTCAATACAACTCCAAGTCTTTGATATGAGTGTATAGGGGAAATTATGTGCGTATAGGGGAAAGTTGACAGAAATTTCAGGGCCGGGAGAGAGTGCAGCAGTTAAGGCACCACTAAGGCATGCACCCAACCTGGGTCCAACAGCACCACATGGTCCCAGCACCACCTTCCCCTGGAACCATCAGCTGCAGCTCCTTAGCCCCAGAAGTCCCATAGCACCATCAGGTGTTCCAGGAAATCCCTGGCACACAGGCCCGAGCAGCACCACACCTCAGGCCTCGAAATTAGCCACCTTTCCTATCAGCCAACAATTGCCCAGGCCTCCTAAACACCACCTGGCAGCCCCTCACCTCAAAAACCCATGAAAATACCAACCTAATTGTCTCTTCACTGGGGTTACGTTTCTGATCTTCCCAAGAATAAACTCTCTAACAATTCAAACACCTTTACTATCTGCTTCTAGACTTCTCAAGAAGTTCTTTATTGGGACTGGGGTCGTAGTACAGACAGTAGAGAGTTTGCCTGATACCGTGTCCTGAGGACCACCAGGAGTGGTTCCTGAGTACACAGCCAGGAGTAACCCCCTAAGAATGGCTGGGTGTGACCCAAAAAGCTAGAAAAATAAAAAAAAAAAATTTTTTTCAAGCTCTATTATGTACCTTTTAAGTACCTTTTAATAGACCATATTTATATGGTTTTTATTAAATTTTCATATTTTCAGTCAGGTTACCCGAGTAACCCATCAATTATAATTTCTGCAACTTTGTATTTAGCTACTGCAGTCACACTCAGATGTATGACCTGGAGCAAGGTACTGCTCTCAGTATCTCAGTGTCTGACCTCTGAAGTGGAAATAATAGCAGAATCTTCAAGAGCACTAGTTTAAGTTGAGTAATAAAATGTGTGACCAACAGCAAGAACTATTTACATGTCAGCCCACTGAGCAAATGGCTCTCAAGCTTTTAGTGACGATGCTAGTACAGAGCGAAGCCTAACCGCATCCATGCTCAGGTTGTGTGATTGAGCTAAAGGTTGGACGGGACCCAGGAGGAAACCAGGAGCCACAGATGGTTTTTGACATTGGCAGACGAAAGGGGGGGTCCGTGCCACCTTCCCCTGGGAAATGCCCCTGGAAGACTCTGCAAACTCTCAACGTTAAACACTTCGTATTGTCTCTTTCCTGTTCAGCATCCGTACGGTCCTGACGTTCTGAGGTCACATGAAGGTTACCTTTGCTGGGAGCAACCTCCTAGCCCTTCCACCATGAGGAACATCCGCTGAATGACACCACCAACTCTGGTTTTCAAAGATGTCGTCATCATTCACACATGAGTATTTTGCAAAATCAATGATTGATATGAAATCATTTTCCAAGAAAATGTGTGAGACCTTACTTAGTGAGGGCTAGATGGAATACCAGCCAGGTAACTAAATATGATCAACTTCTTTCTTAGCCGTTCTGAGCTTGTCATTTTTCCCTTTGAGCAAAGATGTTTCTCTTCACCTGTTGCATTTTGTTGTATTTTTGCTGCCCTATGTCCTGATGTTAACCTACTTGCTCCCGTAATCAAGAGGAACAATTGTATTTGAAAACTTCTGCTTCTATTTCCATTGTCTGTGTTTTCTTTTCTATAAATATACCAAAGCCTATGGGTAACAGTACATCTAGGGAAGGAGACATTCAGATTTATTATGTGGAGAGGATCTGAAACTTCAAATCCAATAATTTTTTAGGCAAATACATTACTGTTTCCTATAGTATAAGGCGCATCTATATTACTTTTCTACTATTTGAATGAGTAGTATAAAATGAATATGTAAATCACCTCTATAAATAATAAATATATAAATGTATATTCTCTTAAAAAAAGTAGTTTCATACTTTCACATGACAAAACATGAAGTTCAGATATTTGTGAAGACTGAACAATAACTGAGAGAATATTTTGAAAATCTGGCATTTTGCTGCTGAATGTGCTTTATTGATTAGATCGTCTTAATTGTTATATTGTGCTGAAAATAAGGTCTATGATGATTGAGAGGTAATACGGTGTGCTGAAGTGTAGAAATGAGAATGAGTAACTGTGGGCCGCCGCAGGGTGGCCTGGACCCCAGGGAGCACCTGCTTGCTAGGGGACCGGGTACTCTAGTGCCCATGGACATTCTGGGGAAAAAAATCAATATCAACCATTTCTCTTAATTACAGCTCTGAATCCAAGTCTATCTCCCTAGTATTTGTATGATTTTTTTTTTTAGTACATCGAAGCTTATTGTGTGCATTTTTAATGTTTTCCTGCTCTCAAGGGAAGATCTGTATTTTGGACTCTATCTCCAAATTCAATAAAAAGATTGTTCTTTCTGGACTTTTTGCTGTCTCCGAACATGTGATTGTTGCCCTATCAGCATATTTTACAATAAACAAAAGATTCTTGACTTCAGGAACTTCTATTTTCTCAGAAAACAGTCAGAGGATGGTTGGATCTGAGTCCAGAATGGGAAAGCGGGAGGGGCAGTGGTTGGAAGAAGGAAGGAACGGCAAAGTGTGACGTAGGCCCTGAGAACGGATAAGGGCAGAGAGAAACAGGAACACTTTTCCCATGGCCAAGTATAAGCTAAGGCCGCAGGCAGAAATACTTACAGTTGAGATTGGAAATGGGAGGACCACAGGGCCAGGACCCCAGGTGCTGTCCAGCCTTCCCTGCCTCTGGCTCTCCCTGGACATAGCTTTGTTGTTGTTGTTTGGTTTCTTTGTTTGGTTGATTTTTGGGTCACACCCACTGATGCTCAGGGTGACTCCTGGCTCTGCACTCAGGAATCACTCCTGTGGGGCCGGGGAACGTATGGCCAGCCTTGTGTAAGGCAAACGCCCACCTGCTGCACAATGGCTGAGCCTGCCTCTTCCCAACCAAGCAACAAAACAAGGCTCCGTCTGGGGTGGAGGCAAGTGCAAGCCTCCCTCTCTCTCCTCCTCCCTGAAGGCCTGGAGCTGAGGCAGCATCCCTGGACCCTGTGAACAATCACACACAGGAAGTCTCTTCCACTCACCAGTGAGCACTCCAGGCAGGTGGTCACAGTCATAGGCAGGAAACCTCCCTCCACGCCCATCTTCTGGGACAAAAGAACCCATGAGACACCATCTGCTCTGCATCTACTTTTTCGTTTGGGCCCTACATGCACCTTAAGCTCTCCATAGGGCTTCTCTGTAGGGCTTCTCTTCACTTCTGTATCCCCCACCATGCTATTTTGGGGCCCCACACCTGGCTGGCCTACCAGGGAGACAGTGCTAGCTCGAAGGGCTTTTCTCACCATGGACTACTGGTTGCACAGAGTAAGTCAGTAATGTGGTAATGGCCAATTATTGCTCTAGTGACCTTGGCAGGAGCCCGCAGAATGGAAAAACAAGACGTTGCTGTAAGACACCAAGTTCGGTTGTGGCAAGTCTGCCTGCCAAAGAGCTTCTCCTCTGAACCTATAGCTCAAGCCTTGTTGGGATCTGGGGTCCATAACCTCCCCCTCCGTATTGCACAAAGAATCCAGCCAGTAATGCAAAGCACAAACAAAGTTTATTCAAGCCAGATAGCTGAGATCAAGCTCTCAGGCACACAGGCCAAAGCAAGACCCGAACAAGGGAGATGCTTCAGGTTATATAGGCAGTGATTACATCATAGCCCTCTCTTTCAAATTCAAAGAAAAACCATTAGTAAAAATGCAAGTTTCGTGACTCAAATGACAACATAATATCAGCCCGTACAAACAATTACAGATGGGTCATCTGGACATGTTCCAGGATGTTCCGACAACTACGCACCCTCCGCGCACATCAGGGTGGCTTCTGATGTTTGGGTTATGAAACTATTTGTCAAGGCCAAGTTTTCAGTCCAGATGTCCTTCCCTTACAATGGGCCAGGGTTGGGGAAGAGCAGGGTTTTAAGAAAACAGGACGGTTTTTTCAGGGGCAAGCAAAATGGAGTTGTTCTTAGGCCGCTCTGCGTCCAGCATCCTCAGATACAGGCCTGTGTAGAAGTTTCCTCACAGATAACCTTTTACACCATTTGAACTTTTACTTAAACCTGTAAAAAACTTTCAAAGATTGTGTCTCATGATGCCAAGACCTTGTATTGTTCATATACGTTTGTATGTCTACCGAAGTATGGCAATTCAATGTTGATTTACAACTAAATCTTTTGCCAGTAGAGACACCAGAAGTTAGCAGTAAAATTTGCCCATATAGGGTACCACTGCACTGTAGCACTGTCGTCCCATTGTTCATCGATTTGCTCAAAGGGAAACCAGTAACATCTCCATTGTGAGACTTGTTGTTACTGTTTTGTCATATCAAATATGCCACGGGTAGCTTGCCAGGTTCTGCCATGCAGGTGGGATACTCTCAGTAGCTTGCTGGGCTCTCTGAGAGGGACGGAGGAATTGAGCCCAGATGGGCCTTGTGCAAGGCAAATGCTCTACCCTCTGTGTGATTGCTCCAGCCCACAGAAATTTATATGTGAAAATGTACTGAAAAAATTAACACACAGGTATAAGTAATCGATAATGACACAGAATCCTCCTCAATGTGTTCATTTTCTATTACTCGATAGCGTAAACAAGGAAGGCGTGAGCAGACAGCACTGCACACCCATACCGGCCACGTCTCAACCCTCGCCACCTCTCAGGCTGCAGCAAATTCACAGCAAATATTTTATGCTAAGTAATGGTGCCACACGTGGGCATTTCCCAAATTGCTCCAGGAATGCAAACTCTCTGGGTTCAGTCACCACTGTCCCTCCCTTGGGCTCTGTGTCTGCTCGTCACCCTCCCTGCCCCCAGGCTCACGGGCTACGAACCTGAGAGGTCTGCCTACTGCTCGAGGAGTTTTTCCTTTTAAATAATGTTTATTTCATCTTTTTTTTTAGGTTAAAAGTATTCTTTTTTTTTTTTTGAGGCAATCGACGATTTTTTTTTTATTAGTGAAACACCAAGAGGTACAGTTGTAGGCTTACAAGTTGTTGTGCTTGGGTTTCAGTTATAAAATGATCAAGTACCCATCCCACCACCAGTGCCCATTCTCCACCCCCACCATTACCAGTATCCCTCCTACCCCCCTTCCCCCATCCCACCCTGCCTCTGTGGCAGGGCACTCACTCCCTTTTGTTCTATCTCTCCTTTTGGGTGCTGTGGTCTGCAGAAAAGACATTGGGTAGCAGTCACATTCAGTCCATAGACTACTTTCAGCAGGCATCTCCCATCCTGGGCATATCTTCCCAGCACCCTTTATTTGGTGCTCCCTTCTCTATCTGAGCTGCCTTTAACCCTAGAGTGTGCAGCTGGCCTCTAAGCCATGGAGTGAACAACCTGGTATTTATCACAGCTGCTCTTGGGTTTTAGTCTCTTATTTTGTTACTTTATGTTACCCAGATGAATGCAATCTTTCTATGTCTGTCCCTCTCTTTCTGACTCATTTCGCTTAGCATAATATTTTTCATGTAGTACCACTTGTATGTAAATTTCATGACTTCATTTTTTCTAACTGCTACATAGTACTCCATTGTGTAGATGTACCAAAGTTTCTTTAACCAGTCATCTGTTCTTGGGCACTCAGGTTTTTTCCATATACTAGCTATTGTAAACAGTGCTGCAATGAACAAACAAGTGCAGATGTCACTTCGACGATACTTTTTTGCCTCTCCGGGGTATATTCCCAGGAGTGGTATTGCTGGGTCAAATGGGAGCTCAATTTCTAATTTTTTGAGAGTCTTCCATACTGTTTTCCAAAAGGGTTGAACCAGTCCGCATTCCCACCAGCAGTGAAGGAGGGTCCCTTTCTCGCCACATCCGCGCCAACGCAAGTTGCTTTTGTTCTTTTGAATGTGGGCCAGTCTCTGTGGTGTGAAATGATATCTCATTGTTGTTTTGATCTGCATCTCCCTGATGATTAATGATGTAGAGCATTTTCTCATGTGCCTTTTAGCCATTCGGATTTCTTCTTTGAGAAAGTCTCTGTTCATTTCGTTGACCCAATTTTTGATGGAGTTGGATAATTACTTCTTGTGGAGTTCAACCAGTACTTTGTATATCCTTGATATCAACCCCTTGTTGGATGTGTATTTGCCGAATATCCTTTTCCATTCTGTAGACTGTCTTTGTATCTTGGTCACTGTTTCTTTGGAGGTGCAGAAGCTTCTTAGTTTAAGATAGTTCCATTTGTCTATCTCTGTTTTCACTTGCTTGGCCAGTGGCGTGACATCTTTGAAGATACCATTAGCTTCAATGTCATGGAGGGTTTTGCCAACTTTGTCTCCAATGTACCTTATGGATTCCGGTCTGATGTTGAGGTCTTTAATCCATTTTGATCTTACTTTTGTACTTGGTGTTAGGCAGAGATCTAAACAAATGAGAATGAAGACACGAGCTACCAGAATTTATGGGATGCAACTAAAGCCGTATTAAGGGGAAAATTTATAGCTCTGCAAGCATACCTCAAGATGGAAGAAAGGATGCACATAAACAACTTGACTTCACAGCTCAAGATCCTAAAAAAGGATCAACAGAAGGAGCCCAAAGTAGGCAGAAGGAAAGAAATAATAAAATTTAGAGCAGAAATCAACGACATGGAAACCAAAGAAACAATCTGTAAGATAAACGAAACTAAGAGTTGTTTCTTCGAGAAAATAAATAAGATAGATAAACCACTAGCAACACTCATAAAGAAACAGAGAGAGAACCCTAATAAACCGAATAAGAAGTGAAA